CTGGGGAGAAGGCACAGGTTTTAGTTGCCCAAAGTAAGTTACATATGTGACACCCAAGGGGTCTAGTTTTATAGATAAAGAAGTGGGAGGTTATCTCAAGCCAGTTGATATGATTGCATTGGTTGATTCCAGGCAAAAATATACTAGCCTGGGACAAGGCAATCTCCAACTTACCACTCTGATGGTGCCAGTATAACTACAATGAGCTAAGCTAAGCTGAAGGGGTTAAATGTTAAAATTAGCTAGATCAGGAGACTGGAATCCAATCTGGGAGAGTGAGACGGTAGTCTTCAACCTGCACCTACTAGGCCTCATGCAAGTTTTCATCTGTTCCATTTGTCTTTATAATATGGAGATGAATGAGGATGGTCCAGTCCTGACCCCTGTAGAGCTGACAGATATAAGGTGGGTAGGTTGCCTGACAGGCCTTGCTTACCAACCCATTCTGTGCTCTTCCTGGGAACTCGGCAGCCCCTTAGCACCCCAGACTCCAAAAACAAAAGGCCCTAGCCCCTTCTGTCTTCCCAGCTCTCCTTTTCTATCTAAGCTCCTCTATCTAAGCTAAGGTAACACACAGTTACAGCATCAGAACTTGGTCTATTCGTAGAAATACGACACAATAGCAAATGTGAAGTATTCATGCCATTGAGTAAAAACTTTCTGGTGCTTACCTTACCTTGCCTTGCTTTGTGTATTAGTTTTGTTAAGGGCATGAAACATGGGATTTGTGATTCAGTGCTGTCTTGTTGATGGCTGGTGAGCCTCATCTTCATGAAGGAAGCATTGCCAATGCCAGTAGCTCTGAATCTGGGCCTGGAGGGGAAGAGGTACCCGAGTCCCACTGACAGCCATGGACTTGTTTCTCTTCTTTCTCACCCACTTTTTTCACCAGGAGGATCATTCTAGGGCCCATCTGCTCTACCAAGTGCCAGGGTATATGGGGGGGGGGGACTTAAAGCCATTTGCATAAGGAACTTCTTGGAGAAGGGAACTAAAAGTCAACCAAGTTTTCTAGCTCTAAGGAGACTCATGAGAGTTCTGTATTTGAGAAGGGTCAATGTATCATACAGGAAAGGTCTGGCTGCCTGGTGGTGCTTGATGAATCTAAAGCCTGATAGTTGTGGGGTCAGACTGGTCTGACATTTTAGAGTCTAAGGATGGAATCTTGTCAAGGTCAGTGGTTTCTTCTGCTTAGGATGACTGTTCTACATGTGAGTTACTCTAATGGTCCTGGAAGTAAGCATGCTGGAGGATGGGCGGCCTCCTTATGAACTAAACTCTGAATGTCTGGACAGCTTCTGGAAGAAGAATTCTCCTTGAGAGCTTTTACAGTTTCTACAAGCAAGGAAATGAGAGGATATAAGTGCTTCATTATAAAAAGTGTGATGGAACTAGAGAGATGGCTCAGTGGTTAAGAACACCGACTGTTCTTGCAGAAGACCCGGGTTTGAATCCTAGCAACCACATGGCAGCTAACAACTGTCTGTAACTCCAGTTCCAGGGGATCCGATAGCCTCTTCTGTCCTCTGCAGGCATTGCATGACACTACATGCAGGCAATACAAGCATACACATAAAATAAAAATAATAAAATATTTAAAAAAAAAAACTGTTGTGATCATTTTTGATGCCCAAAATGGTAAAGGAAATTATACCTATTATTTACTTATAGCATACTTTTTGCTGTTTTTTGGCTTGGGTGGTAGTTGCTGTTTTTGAGACAGGATCTCCCTGTAGCCCCAGCTGCCCAGGAACTTGCTGTATAGACCAGGCTGGCCTTAATCTTACAGAGCTCTACCTGCCTCTGCCTCTAAGTGCTGGGATTAAAGGCATACACTACCATGGTGGGCATAACAAACTTTTTATAATGAAAAATCCCCCCAGTTCTTCCTCACTGAGGAAGCGTCACTAGCCACTAGCTCCCATGGCAAGGATGCACACATGGTTCTTTTCCAGTTCTTCCTTGTGTGGTGTATTGTTTCCTTCCAAGCCAAATGTTAAAAGAGTCTGCTTTTTCCTCACCACAGAAAATTCTCTATGTGCTCAAAGTACACGAAATTGTCAATCGATTTCTCCTGCAGGCTTTGCTCCTCTATAATGTTCTATGAGACGAAGTGACACAGACAGACCTCTGCCTTTCTCTGACTGGTGGACTGCATAAATTTTTTTTTTTTTTTTTTTTTGTGGCTTCCTTCTCTCTGATGACATCAGCCACTGAGTCTATTACATAGTGTACTGATATGGCACATCACCTATCCAATCAGAAAATCTCATTTTCTGCTTAGATCTGACTGGAATAATCTCCTATATCTCCTCACATCACACCAAACTTCCTATGCAGTAACATTGTTTTATAATAAACTAATTCCCAGATTTTATATGTGCCATAAAAATTTTAGATCAATAATCCTTTGCTTTTATTATCTCACATGGAAATGGAAGGAATCATGTTTTCAAAAGACACTTAGATAAGAAAAAGTACAAAGTCTGTGAATGTCAGTGAACTGAAGCTAACGGGGGGGGGGGGCGGTGTCCTGTGTTCACCAAGTAATAGCACTCGTTAATTTCCCTTCCAATGGAGAATCAGCTTATGGGCCACAGGTGCTGGCTATTGGCTGTCTATATCAGTGAGGCATCTTTTAGGGCAAGATGAATGAGTGAGGCCAGGATCCTCCCTTGTCCATCTCCACTGGGAAGCTAGATGTTTTCATGACACTATAGCTGCAAAGACACTATCTGCTTTATCTTCATATATGCAAAACACTTCTTTTCATTGAATTTTTTGTTTATTTCATACAGAACATCTCAAACAATCTTAATTATCTTTATACCCCCATCTCCAGTGGCACCCTCCCAGAGCCTTCCCCCTCCCCCGACTGGAGCCTATATACTCTGTCATCCCTCTTAAGGCCCACTGGTTTTTCAGTGTCCCCAGCTGTTGTTCTCCAATGCAAGTCGTTCTGCTGAGTCAGCCTGTCTACCGAGTCCCTTGTCTGTTCGTCATCTAGCAGCAATCAGTTGCCAACATCCCTTCAGATAAGATTGAAGTTTGCTGTTCGTTTTTCCAGTTCTATGCTGGGTTACTGTCTGCCCGAGTTTGCATGGGACTTGTGTATGCTGCCACCATTGCCATAGAATCTTCTTGTACTCCCCACAGAGCGAGCATTTCCAGCAGCTTTTCAGCCAACAAATGTATAACACTAAGGAACTTCTCAAAGATTTCACCTGTAAACATTCTAGCAAGAGCATGTGATACTTTTTTGATGTGTATGGAGCAAAGGCTACTGCTGAATTGAGCTAGTCTTACTACATTATAATTTGAACAGTTTTGTTTTAACCATATTTTAGACAAGGTTTTTTCACTGCTTTTAAAAACAATTATTCAATGGTTGAATTGCATGGTTAGGAAATTCCCAGGAATCTTTGCAGCAGCACAAGAAGTACAGAAGTAAGTGACAAGAAGACTTAATGGGCACTCAGGGACCAAAATTCTCATTTAATTACACAGTGGACAAGTCCCTCCTTGGACAGGATGCCGGTTTATGGGAGGTGATCTAGAGCCCAAGTGTGAGTTTACAATAGTCCCTTAGTTCTTGTTCCTGTTCCAAATTAACCCCGCCTTCCTGACTACAGCCTTTATGTTCCTCTATGAAGTTACAGCACAATGTCTAGTCATGATATTTATAGTTAACAGGTTTTCTCAGTGTCTACATTCCAATCATTTCCACACTCAGATTCCAGTCAGGACCAGTGAAATTTATGTTATATGCTTTTCAATTTTCACTCATCAGAAATCTTTAATGACTATCCCATGGTTGCATGAAATCTGTGCATTGTCCTACTTTTACAGATGCAGAGACTTCTGAAGACCAATCCCACTGGCAGGAGTCCCTAAATAATATGCGGCATTATTGCACACTGAGATGTTACTATAGTCATGTTGAAACAGAATAAAATTGTGTTTGCATGATGCTTGGGTTCAGAGAAGCTTGCAATGATTTTACGTGATACTTATATACATCGTTGTTGTTGTTAGCATGTTAGTATTCTGATGTGCATTTTAAGTTTTTGGTAAGCAGGTTTGTATCCACCAACAAAGGGGCTGCTGAACAGTAGAAAGGATAAGTAGAGAATGGCTACACACAACATAAAAAAGGCTTCCAAAGTCAAATCCTTCTCTATTACTATATATTAAATGTCACTGCTGATGTTCTGACATTTCCTTGGCAAGGAAGGGCACAGGGGGCAATGCTGTCATTAATTTATTCAGCAAATGCTTACTGAGTTCTACGTGTCAATTGCTGTGTTAATGTGAAAGGCCTGGGGCTGGGGAGATTCAGACCCCTAGAACTCATTTAAAGCTAAGAGCAGTGGCAATGTGCCTGCATTTCCAGGGCTGGGGGACAGAGACAGGAGGATCCCTGGGGCTTGCTGGAAAGACAGTCTAGCCAAATCAGTGAGCTGAAGATTCAGTGAGAGAGCCTGTTCCAAAAAGTAAGGTGGAGAACAATGGAAGGAGTTCCCTAGTATGGATTTCTGGCCTACACACACACACACACACACACACACACACACACACACACACACACACGCACACATGCACACGTACACACACACAATTATTTTCCAAAAGCCATGTTGATAGTATATATTATGTATTAAGAAAGCAAAAGAACATTTTGAGGTGAAGCCTTCATGAGGAGGTGGTATAGACATTGAAAGGTAGAGACAGACCTTAAAGTTGAAAGTGAGGTATGAGACTGTCAAGACAAAAGATGTGAGGGGGAAGGAGCAGAAGGCCTGATACAGAGGGGGAATGAACCATGTCAGCTGAGTGTAAACATACCATAATGGGGCAGAGAAGTTAATATAAGGCAAGGTGTAGGATGCAGGCTGGGCACTTTGATAACTCAATTATGAAATTTGACCTTTATCTATTTACAGAGCTAAAGGATTCGTTTTATAAGTTACTAATTGAACACTTACTAGCAGCCTCTGCAACAGACACTGGACATACCAGAGGATGAAGAAGACATACATGGCCATTGCCTCCCACCCCATAGGGGCAAACAAGGTGGAACAGACTTGAACATGAGGTAGATATCGGCTGGAGATTGAATCTGTCCTTCACTGGTGGTGGACTGGAATGGGGGAAACTGGGGTTGGGAAGTTCTGTCTCTCAGCTGTCTGAGCAGGTGGAGAGAGTTCCCAGCCAATGAGGTAGGGCAGGTGCTTGTTCCACATCTTGACCTGGGAGCTAGCAACTGAGGCTGTCTCCCTTTCTCATGGGAAGCTTTTCTCCTCTTGGTAAGTGGCTTAGCCAAGGATCGGATGAGTCCAGAGGTAAGGAAGGTGCTGGCCCTCAGCTTTCTTTTGGGGGAGAGTTACTTGCTAAATTTTACATTAAACCTCAAGTTTGACCTCTTCAGGTAATATTAAAGATTCATAAAGATGCATAAATATGTTTTTTCCACCCCTGACACATTACAGCATATTGTTCCCTGACACTTTTTTTTTTTTTTTTTTTTTTTTTTACCAGATACAAACACACTTCAGTCACAATGAAATGCAAACTTATTGTTTGGGAATGCAAAGTAAGAAAAACAGGCAAATGTCTGTTGATGTGTGTACATATATCCCTATTCTCCATCTTTTCTTAGGAATCGTTGCTGAATCTGTGCTTTTTATGGTAAGAATATTTGTAATATGGAAAATACCCAGCATCTCCTTGGCTTTTAAGACTATCCTAAAATCACATCGCCCTTTTCTTTTACAACACCATAGCTGTGGGTCATATACTCAGGATGGGAGTGTCTTCTTGATTAAATGGATATGTACTTGTCTTATGGCTGACCTTGCTTCTAGTTCTAAAAAGCTTTTCCTAAGAGGATGTTTGGGTCAGCTGCAACAAACCCAGTGCACCCCGGGCATCCTCCCTGAGCATCCCAAAGCTCTGCAGGCCTCCGCCTTCACCAGGCTCACGTGGACATCTCCATGTAGCATTAAACAGACCTAACGGATGTTTGCAGTGGGTTATCTGCAAGGTAAAGGAGGTGATAAAGGGGCTCGGGGTTCCTCTGCCTATTGTTGGAGAACTGGACATCAGGTGGTTGAACAGGTTAGGGGAGGCACACTGGGAAGCCATAACTTGGGCACAAGCATCATACTTAGTCTCATTTACAATTCACAGAAATCTGACTTTGAGAGACTAGCTTTGTGTTTGTTTTGCTTTGCTTTTTGGTGGTGCTGGGGGTGAATCCAAGATCTGCCTCAAATTAGACAAAACCTTGACCATTGATCTACATCCTGGAAAGACTAGCTTTTATTGGGTTAAAAAATAATCTCCCCAGTTCTATAATTATTTTACTCAAAATGGATTCTAGTTTAGTTTTTTATTGCTGTGATAAATGCTATGACCAAAAGCAACTTGAGGAGGAAAGGGTTTCTTTGATTTTACAACTCTCAGATCATGGTCTATCTTTAAGGGAAGCCAAGACAGGAACTCAAGGCAGAATCCTAGATGCAGGAACTAGAGCAGAGACCATGGAGGCCTCTATATGCATGCAGGGAACTGAACCCGGGTCCTCTGCAAGAACAGCCAGTGCTCTTATGCTGGGCCATCTCTCCAGCTCCTCAGCCACTTTTCTTATAGAGCTCATGCTCACCTGCCTAGGGATGAAAACACCCACAGTGGGCTGGTCCCTCCCATATCAGCTAGCAATGAAGAAAATGCCTCATAGACGAGACCATCTGATCTGGATAATTCGTCATTTGAGATTCCCTCTTCCCAGGTGACTCTCATTTGACACATAATCATCCCTATAAACAATACCCTTTGTATTTCTTGCCCCCAAGATCTCATGTCAATATTACAATATAAAACACAAAATGTTATGAAGTTATATATTTTCTTTTCAGAAGTTAATGTGAGAAAAATGATTCAGTGGCTGGGGAGATAGCTCAGTGGGTAAAGTGCTTGCCATACAAGCATGAGAACGTGGGTTCCATTCCCAGTCCCCACCTGAAGGAACTAGGTGTGGTGGTGTACACTTGGAATCCTAGCACTGGGAAGTAGAGACAAGTAGATCCCCGGGGGCTTACTGGCCGGCAATGATGTAGTCTAATTCTTGAGCCCCAGGCCAATGAGAGACCCTGTCTCAAAACTCCATCTGGTCAACTCAAGGTTGACCTCTGGCCTCCACATGCATATACAGGCACATGCAACTACACACAAGAACACATGCATGCATGCACACATGCAGAATTGTTTCTTTGTTAAATACAGGAGGAAAAAAAATCAAGAGTAGCTTGTTGGACCTACATATTTTAATTTTTAAAAAAATTTTTTTTTTTAGCCTTTACAAATGTAAGAGCAGTACTGTTATTTTTCTTTTGCTTTGAACCTATTGGTAAAAAAGACAGAGCCTCAAGTACTTTTTCAATTAGCAGTCTTTTCACAAGAAAGGTTCTAACAAGAGGACTGTCTGAAAGCTGTCGCCCTTCGTGCTGGAGTGATAAACCGCTCACCCTGCTTTCCAGAACATCTCTCTCTGCGGTTGCAAGCATTTTGAAGAGACTGAATGGACGAACCGTCTTGAAAGGACAACCTACTGTGATTCCTAATCCAAGTACAGCCTCAGCGGGCATAGCGCGGAAAAGAGAGAGGCTCTTCCAGCTTTTCGTGGATCATCGTTCAAGCATTAAAAAACCCGGAGTGTGTTCCTTCCATGTGAAGCACTCCATTAATGTTAATGAAAGCCACAAATTTACCTCAAAGCCAGAAAGACGCCTCACTCTCCCTGCAGGAATCCTAGACGATAAGGAAAGAGCTGGCCTCCTTTCCCGTTTGTAGCAAGGCAGGCTGGAATCACCGGGCCTGGGATGTATTGAAAATTGAAAATGAACTCTCCATTGGTTGATGCTAGGAAAATCCCAGTCTCAGAGCACACAAGTGCTTCAGCCTCTGCTCAGTGCTGTTCAGATTTGTCTTTTCTTTTTTTTTTCTACCTTGAAAGGAATACAAAAACCATTTTGAGTTTTAAAAGTTAAAACAGATTAAAACAATTTTATAACTAACTCAAATCCAGAGACTTTAGAGGCTGGACTTTGAGGATAGGAGAGGAGATGAAACAGACAGAACACGTGAACGACAGAAAAAATGGTTCTATTCCTCACTTTTTTTCTATTTCTCACTTTTGAAGGAAGCATATTCTGTCATTCAGATTGTGCCCAACTGCTTCTGCCTGCTGGGTTGGATGCACTCAAAATGCTTTATTTTCAAAGTATTAGTGAGATCAGCTGCTAAATCCTTGTCACCAACAGTGATAGGAATCCACTGACATTAAGGAGAGTCTGGGAGCAAAGATGACCATTTTGTTCCAGATTTCCACGTCAATCTATATGGTGAGTCTTTTCCACTTGAGAATTTTGAGAGCGAAGGGTGTTTTGCTCAAAAAGTGTAGAGGCTTTGCATTTAACAGAAAGGGCCTGGGTTTAGGTTTTAGACAAGAAACTCAGAGTGATTCAGTCAGCAAAGTTAATGTGCTCTGCTGGGGAAAGCTCAGTCTGCCACTCAGGATGGTGTTCTTACATGTAACTTAGTTTTCTGGCTATTGGTATTTGGGCAGCTCCTACATTTAGTCTGCTTGGCAATTTTCATTTAGGAGGTATTTTTTTCTCCTACCTAACAGGGTTGTTGAAATACTAATTCTTCCAAAAGACTCAGGCAGGCAGTCCAAATACCTTATGCTGACCACCACAGTGATGAGTTTGAGGTGGACACACAGCCCAAACAGCATCAGAAGCTTTCGCTAGATTGCTGTTGCCACCACCTGATGATAGGAACCTGGGAGTTGTGGAATTATTGTATGGAGATGTAAAGTCAGAGATATTTCAAAATACTACCAAGCCAAATAAAAATGCCTCACATATAAACGCTGTATGTAACTGCTTTTTCAAATATATAAATATTATGCTGAACTAAAAAGTAAATTAAAATTTAGAGATATTTCCTAATTGAAAATAGTTTAGTGCAATTATTTCAATCAATGGCTAAACATGTATTAGTAAAACCATGCATGACTTATGGGATCTGATTAAACATCAAAGGAGATCTTCAAAGGGTTATGAATATTTTATTTTTTAAAAATTAAATTAAATGTGTTTGAATATTTTGTCTGCATGTATGTGAGTTCACCACACACACACACACACACATATATAAAATGCCTTTGCAGGTTAGAAGAGGGTATCAAATCCCGTGGTGCTGGAGTTCAGACAGTTGTAGTGTTAGTTCAAACTGGGCCCCAAGATGGAGTCACTAATGACCAGCAAAATGGTGATCACAACCTGGTGGGTAGCATTCCGGGAAGCAGAAGTGGGCAATGTTCAGGGAAACAGAAACTGAACCATCCTAGTTTCTTAGTAACCACCTGACCCTTGTATTAACAATGCACCCTGATCATAACAGCAATTTTCCATTGCAGTCAACCAAAAAACTGAAGAACACCTAACTGAAGCTGCCCCCTACCAAGGCACCTGCTGCTGACTCATCCCCTTCCCCTTCCTGCTACAGTTTCACCTCTCCCTACCCACAAAAGAAAAATCCTGTACAACCCAGCCAGCTGTGACAAGAAACCACAGCAGTCCAGCAGCTCATCCACCCCAATAAATTTCTTCTTTTCTTGCCTCAGAGTGGTCTCTAGTGGTCCTGGTCTTTACAGGAACCGAAGAATTAGCTGCCATATGGGTGCTGGAAACTGAATCTGGGTCCTGTGCAAGAGCAGACAGTACTCTTAACCACTGAGCCATCTCTCCAGCCTTGAGTTAATATTTTATATATTTTTATTGTATGTGTATGAGTGTTTTGCCTACATGTATGTAAATGCACCCATGTGTACAGTGTCCAAGGAGGCCAGAAGAGGGCATCAGATCTCCTGGAACTGGAGTTATGGACGGTTGCTAGCTGCCATGTTGGTGCTGGGACTGAATCCAAGTCCTCAGGGAGAACAGTCAGTGCTCTTAGCTGCTGCTCCATCTCTCCAGCCTGAGTTACAAGCGTTTTAAATAGGGTTTCTTTCCTATCTAATTTTATCTGGTTACATTAATCTCATTCTAAGTCTTTTCTCTCCTCTTCTTTCCTTCCTACCTCTATTTCTCTCTAAGTAAGAGTCACTGCTTGCCAGGTCTGAAGTTGCCATTGGTTAGTACCGACGAAGAGTCTAAAAAGCAAACCAAACCCATTGCTTCTTCCCTGGGCTTTTCTTTCCAAGAGAAGTATTCCAGTCTATACACTATAGTACTTCCATACTGTGCCATTGAAATGTCTTGAAAAATCAGCTGAGATTCTCCTAAGAATTGTGTCATTTTAGTAATCAGTTTTGTTAGCCATATTTAAATCTGGACTAGAACAGCTTTACCTCCACAGAGCTCAGACTACACAATACATCAGAATCTCCTCCAAGCCCAGCTTGAGAAGCAGGCCACATGTACTCGGTTCTAATCTAGTCCTGCTTACAGTACCTGCTCACCAGCCCAGTCTGAGCAAGGTTGCACTAACTCCTTCTTTAAGTTTTTTAATCTTTATTTTGGGCAATAAATTCTATAAACTTAAAATTTACAGAAAGTTCAAATGATGAAGTTAAAAGCACTTGCTCTTCTACCATCAAGAGTAACAAATTGTAAAATGACATGTTGTATGTGCTTACCTTGTTCATTTAAGAACTGAAACAGCAAAAGACTAAAACCCCCATTATCCACCATTACCAGTTACATCCACAATCTGTTTTATGAAGCAACTACTGTATGGAGCAGGTTTGCAGTTGTACACTGTTGCTTCACACGGTTTATTTGATCATTTATTTTAATCTGTATATCGTTTTATTGTTCTTCTGTCTTGCCCAACATGAGGTTTTGATTCCTCCACAATGCACTACTCTATATTCACATTTCATTTATTCCCTGCATGTTTTATTAGATTGCTTCCATTCAAGATTGCCACAGGACACTCTTTTACCTGTATTAGGACTTTTGCTACATGTGATACTTTTAAGAATTTTGTACTGCAGGTACAATGTTGAAACTATACAATTATTCCTCCCTGGGAGGAATTTTTGCAAAACTTTCTTCAGTTTTCCAGCGACTTCACTGTTTTGTTTTGCCACAGTTTCCCTTTCTCTCTTCAGCCTTCCTCCAGCTACTCCTCCTCCTGTGCTGCTTTCTCTTCAGGCAGTGTTCTTGTCCCTGAGAGAACGGGGCTGGTTACTCAGCCAGCATTGCTTTCCCATGATGCTTTCCTCAGAAATAGCAAAACAAATCTGATGGAAAAAAGAATCACAAGGAAAGATCTAGTTTCGAAATGCTAACTACTGTGCTGATATGAAGGACTCACAGTCAAGAAATGACAAGTGATAGGTGAGGGAGAGGGAGGAAGGCTTGGATGATAACTTTTTTCCTCAAAGATTCATTTATTTTAATTTTATGTATATGAGGGTTTCATCTGCATGTGTTTATATGAACCAGTGAGTGTTTAGTGCCTGAGGAGGCCAGAAGAGGGCAGTTGTGAGCCATCATGTGGGTTCTGGGAACTGAACCTTGGTCCTTTGCAAAAGCAGCAAGTGCTCTTAACTGCTGACCATCTCTCCAGCCCCATGGATGGTAACAGTTTTTGGCATACCAATTAATCAAATTTTAATTTTAATCAATTTTAAAAACCCATAGACACAAATAAAGAATTTGCATCTTTTCTTGCACTGATTTTTTACCAGCAGTGAGATGTTATGAGCACACATGCCAGCCACTAGGAGCTTAGTGCTCTCTGCACTGCATGTCTGTGAGGGCCAGCGCAACTTAGCAGCTGAAACTTGAGCAAAGATTTCTCCGTAAGCATGCTTTGAGGCCTCTGCAAGGGCAGTAGGTATTGAGAGCATTAGGGCTTCTGGGACGTTGAACCTGCAGGCAGCATCAAGATGCCCTCTGAGCTGTATGACTTTGGGAAGGTGCTCTGCTCTCCTTATCAGTAGAGTCAGCTGTTAGCACACTTATGCGAAACCCACAGGGTAGTCCTCACACTTTGCCAATGTCAAATGCTAATGCTCTTCCTTCCAGCTTCCTTTCCCTTCAGCACTCCAACAAGTAGTAAATGCATTGACTGAAATTTCAGATATTAAAAATTAGTAATATTTAGAAAGGCAATGGCTGACTAAATAAACAAAAATCCCTTATAGTATATGTGTGTATGCATATATTATGTGTGTGTATGTATTTTATTTATTTGAAAGAGCATATTTTTATGAATAACATACTACCACTGTTATACTACTAATAATAGGTGTTGCTACATGGGCAAATGCTATTTGTAGCGGGGGGGGGGGGGAATCCAAAAAAGCTCAGCTGAAATGTAGGGGAAAGAGCCCACCGGCTGGCCACATTCATGCCTTTGTAAGTGACCCGCTCCCAAATAGTATAAGCTTTGTTGGCAAGCCCAAATAAATATTCTTATTCCCCAAACTGTAACTTAGACAGACATTGTGTAGGTTTTGTCGGTAGGTGGTAGGTTGTCGGTCATGGGGCCTGGAAACCGAGAAGGATGAGCCTTACAGAGGGCTTGGGAGTCAACAGAGTGCGCATGAGGGCCTGCTAAGGAGAGAATTTGGTGCTACATGGTCCCAAATGAAGTCAGAAAAAAATCAGTAACATAAAAAGTTTTTAGTTAAATAGGAAAACATTCCGTATTTTATTGTCTAATAGGGTGGGTATAGTTAACAAGACTGTATTTCAGAACAGCTATAGGAAAGAATTTTGAATGCTTCATCACAAGGAGATGATACATATTTAAGTTGGTGGCTCCACCTCATCATTCCACCATGCATTCCAACATCGAATTGAAGGTGAATGGAAGAGAGTTATAGATTAGTCAGATAACGAGGGAAGGCGGCCCCAGAGTAGATTCAGCTGTTTTAATTACTTTCACTTTCATCCAAGATGGCTTGCCTCCTGGTTCTTGTTTCAAGAACCTTTGCTTTACCAAATCTGGTTCCTGCTTTCGTGTAAGTAAAACCACCAGCAACATGCATCCTGCCCTGTCCAGACCAAAAATGGAAAGGGAGCCCAGCCCTGTCCTACCTCCTACTCTATAGAATATAAAAGCCCATACCTTCCAGAGGGATAGATGGTGGTCCAGCTCTAGATTCCCTCCCCTTGCCGGGAGTCTGTATCTTTATGTGCTATATGGCCTGTTACTTTTGTTACAGAAAAATCAGACTATTGTGTGTTAGTCCTGCTATTGTAAAATTAAACTCCCTCTCCTCACCTGACTTTGGCTGTTGGTCTCTGATTTTTCTGTAACATTTCTGCTTGAATAAACCTTGGCTGTGAGATGTGACTGCAAACTTCTTGTCTTGTATTGTTTACATGGTGAAGAAACGGGACAAGAAAAGACCCTAGACAGCCTCAACACTGTTCCCCACAAACTTGTACCATTGTTACCTATTGATTAAAGATTTAAAAGAATGAAGAAAATCTGTTCTACCTTTGGTAAAATGGTCAAGCAGCCAACATATTTTATTAGAATAAGAGAAGAAACAGAAGGTTGTCCAAGAAGAAGTATTTGAAGATCCAAAAAGAGTCAACAAAATAAAACGAAAATAAAAAAAAAGAGAAAAGCATACTATTTCAGTCAGAGTCCAGTGAGGAGAGGAGAAGCACAGGGCAATCTGAACAAGGGAGTTGAAGAATGATTGTGTACAGTGGGGTTGCAGTAATGGCTGCCTGGCTAGCAGGAAGGGCAGGAAAACAGCTGCTGTAAGGAGCTGTCACTAGTGAGATAGAGCACTGGACAAGGAGCCCTTGGGCTGAGGTTTAGTACTCACTGGAAGGGACATGGCTGTGGCTGGCAGATGGCTGCAATGGGGCATTCTGGTGGAACTTGCTAAAAAATCTGGACCTTCCTAGGATTCCAGACTCTAGAGCACACTAGAAAGCTGTTCTTGGTGATGCGTCACTGAAGGTAGTTTGAGGCGGTGGAGGGGAGCTGGGCACTGAGAAGCCACCTGTGCTGCCCCCTTCCTCATGCCCAGTCTCTTCAGGACACTGTACTGACTTACACTCAGCAGGGGAAGGGGCAAGATCTATTTTTGTAAAGCAGACAGCCAAGTATGAATTTAAAGTTGCTTTAAATTCATCTGCTTGCTCTACCTGTTGGCTACTCAGCTTTTAAATACACTCATTTGCATGGCAGCAAAACATCTCTATATTTGTGCCTAACATGGTCGATAGACTTCTCCTCTCTGTAGTCATCCATTGCTGACTTTATTGTCATTCTTGCTCAAAGTCTGTCGTGGACAGACTGAATGTTTTTTCTTTTTAAAGGGTAGCATTTAAAGTTAATGTCTAATTTGTGCTGGGAAGAAGGGAGAAGGTGGCTAGGGTGTACAGACAAGCATAGGCATATACACTGAGGAGATACACAAGTCATCAGCTCTGAGACTGATCACGCATCTTTTTACAACTGCCATCTTTTCTTTCTCACTCTCAGAACCTCAACTGCTCTGGAGCCTTTAGTCAGAGAAATGACCTGTGGTCTGAGACCACATCACTTGGCTTTTTGCTATAATTTCAAAATTACTTTAACTACTGGGTATAGAAGAACCGGAAGACATTTCCTCGATACAGATGAGTAGTTCCAAAGGTCCACT